TCTGAATGAAATTGCTGGCTGAAAACTAGACATTCATATTGACTAAAAACTTGGAATTCAAGGGAGAGTTCAGTGACAGATATATTGGAGAGTGATCAAAATATTCAACAAATTCTTTAATTGGATTGTTAAAAATATTTTCGCTTTCTTGCTTTAATGATAATGAAATCTTTTGTTAATTTCTTGCCCTTCCTTAGAATCAGTTTTTATTCAGCTTCTCTTTTATTGTTTGAATCAAACCAGCAAGACGTTTGTCACCTCCTGTCTGAAGCAATCTATATTGAACAATGCTCTGTGAGAAATAATAGCTCCATCTGAAAACAGCCCAGCAGTGTAGAATGTTGTGACTTTAAATTGAGGAGGTCTTTAGCCATCTGACACATCTTTTCCAGCAGTTGTGTAAGACTTTGACACCTCTGTTTAGGCTTCATAAAAATGCTTCTTCTTTCTAGATCCAACCTCTTCACGAATTTTCTTATGAAGTTCATTTACATACACTGTGCATAATCTGTATTTTCAAGAGAACGGTTCCAATGGTAACCTCTAGTTTTAGTGAATTGTATTTCAAGAGACCATATAGCATTATGGCTTAAAGGCATCATAGCTATTTGAGTCAGACTCCGCCAGGTTTGAATTTTTCTGCATCCAATATAACTTAAATGTCTGTCTATCAATCTTCATCTGCAAAATTATGGTAAATAATAAGCTATGAAAAATTTCATATAGTTTGTATAAGTTACTTGCAGTGTTTAACATATTGTTATACATGAGAAACTAATGGTAAGTTACTAAGTAATAAACATTTTTGAAGACACACTTGACTTTAGATAGTATGCTGTTACTAGTGTGGGCGGTCTCTTCCCTTGTGATTTACAGCCTCTGGAAACCTGCTGGACACTCAGCTAAGAGTTAGGTCTGACTCAGTAGCAAGTAGGGGTTTTTTTTGGTTGTTGTTTTTTTATTTTAATGTGTGTGTATGTGTGTGTGTGTGTGTGTACCATCAAATCAGATCTGACTGGTACAGAAGGAGATTGCCCCTCTTTCTCCAACAGAGCATCTGGTGGATTTGAACCGTGTACAGTAGGTTGTTTTTTTAGTATGACATTTATACTTCAGAACTGAATTTGCAGTAAGCTTAGGTCATTGTTTTAAAGCTCAAGTTTCCATTTGTGTCTTGTTTTCCATTTTCTTTAACCTCCTCTTTGAGTAAAATAGCAAAAAGTTCTGTTTTAAGGAGAAATTGATGGATTTAAAGCTCTTTTATCTATTTAGCTCTAAGGTACTAGTATCTAAAACCCAATTGTTACCAGTCAAATAATAGCTTTTAAAAGAAATTTAAAAAATTAAGTTAAATTGAAAATTCACTTCCTTTGCTGCGTTCAGGTGCTTGGTAGGCGAATGAATTGAACAGTGAGGATAAGAACCTTTCATCAAAGCAAGAAGTTCTGTTGGACAGATCTGGTCTGGAATCTACAAACACAAATATCTGTTTATGTGTGTAAAAAGACTAAAAAATAAAATTTAAATTAATAATATAAATGCAATTTAATATCTAGCAAAGATAACATTAAGCCAATTCAGTTAATTTTTTTTTGATCTATAGACATTGTCATTTTTATTATCATTGTTGCATTAAGTCATTTTATGTGAAAATTCAGTTAATTTTTAAAATTTAGTGTTCTTAGAAGAAAATATTTATGAAGTAGTTTACTAGACTTAAAGAAGATACTATTTTAGTCTTCCAGTTAATGCAGTACTAGCTGTGTAAGCAAACAAGTTCACTAACTCTTCTGTTACTAAAGACTAGTCCTGTTCAATTTCAAACCTCAGTCTCATATTTGACTCAGAGTGCTCTTCTGCATCCCAACCTCCGGCACGTATCAGTGGGCATGTAATGAAGAAGAGGAAAATGACAGAGCCCTTGGAGGGGCTTTCAGCTGTGGGTCTGTTTCTTTCAACTTGATGGCAATGAGTTTTGAGGGTTTTGTTGGTGTAAGAGAGTTGTACTATTAATCTAAAGTCAGCCAGTTCAAATCTACCTGTAGCTCTTCAGGAGAAAGATAGTCTCCTCTCCTGTGATTTACAGCCTTGGAAAACTCTCTGGTTACCTAGCAATGCCTTTGAGATTTCAAAATGACCAGCAAGGTATAGGTGCCACTTGAAAAGTCAGAGTAGGCTGTTTTGTTTTGTTTTGGGTTTGTTTGTTTTTTTTAATTACTTTAAATGAAAGTTTACAGGGACTTAGGGTTTCCAGTCATTCATTGTTGCACTTTTCTTCCTGCCCACCCCCTCCCCCCAATTCATTCTTCTCCTTAAAAGAGAAAGAAAAACTCTTTCATTGTTATGCAATCCCTCCCCTCAAGTCCATTCCACTATGCAGCCTTCACTCTGGAATTCTATAATGACAGTATCCGCTCACAGATCCCTTTTAAACAGTTCTCTCCCTCATCTATTTCAATGCCATATACATTATTCCTCTCCTCCTTTTATGTCTTCCCTCAACCTTGATGTCAGTTCCATTTTCAACAGTGGCCCTATACAATATTTGTCCTTTTTATTTTTAATTTTTTAAAAAAATTTATTATTAATTTCAGTAAAAATTTACAGAGACTTTGGGTTTCCATTCATTCATTGTTGCACTTTTCTCCCCTTCTAACCGTCCCCCCAATACACTACCCTCTTGTAAAAGTAAAACAAAAATTCTTTCATTGTTTTCCAAACCCTCCCCCAGGTCCACTCCACTATACAGCCTTCGCTATGGATTCCTGTCATGATAAAAATACCTAATCACATATCCCTTTTAAACAGTTTTCTCCCTCATCTGTTTCAATGCAGTATAAATTATTGAACCCATCTTTCTCAGTCTTCCCCGAACCCCGATGTCAGTCCTATTTTACAACAGTGCCACCATGCAGTATTTGTCCTTTTGTGACTGAGATAATTCACTCAGTATAATGTCCTCCAGCGTCACCCATTTTGAATAATATTGTATGAGTTCCTTGTTTTTCAATGCAGCATAGTATTCCATCGTGTGACTGTACCACAGCTTCTCTATCCATTCGTGTGTTGTTGGGCACTTAGGTTGTTTCCAACTCCTTGCTATTGTGAACAAAGCCGCAATAAACATAGGTGTGCATATATCTGCTTTGATGTCAGTTATGGTCTCTTTGGGGTATATTCCCAGTAGTGGAATTGCTGGGTCAAATGGTATCTCTATTGGCAACTTTTTGAGAAAGCGCCATACTGCCTTCCACAGTGGTTGCACCATTTTACACTCCCACCAACAATGAATAAGGATTCCAGTTTCTCCACACCTCGCCAGCACTTGTTGCTTGCTGTTCTGTTAAATTTTGCTGTTCTGACTGGGGTGAGATGATATCTCATCGTTGTTTTAATTTGCATATCTCTTAGAGCTAGGGATTTTGAACATTTCTTCAGGTGCTTGTTAGCCATCTGAATGTTTTCTTCGGTGAAGTGTCTGTTCATATCTTGTGCCCATTTTTCTATTGGATTATTTACCTTTATCTTGTTGTGGTCTCAAGTATTTTATAAATTCTGGCTCTAAGTCCCTTATCTGATATGTCATTACCAAATACTTTTTCCCAGTCTGTGGCTTCCCTTTTTATCCTGCTGGAGAAGTTTTTGGGTGTGCATACAGATTTGATTCTTAGAAGATCCCATTCATCTATTTTATCTTCTCCTGGTTGTAGGAATATTTGTCCTTTTGTGACTGAGGTATTTCACTCAGTATAATGTCCTTCAGGGTCATCCATTTTGCATAATATCTCTTGAGTTCCTTGTTTTTCAATGCAGTGTAGTATTCCATTGTGTGAATATACCACAGCTTCTCTATCCATTCTTTTGTTGATGGGCATTTGGGTTGCTTCCAGCTCTCTGAGTAAGAGTTCCAGTTTCTCCACAAACTCGCCAGCATTTCATGTGTGCTAACGGTGTCTCTCTGGAGACTAAGGTCCGCTTGATACAGGCCATGGTTTTTGCAATCACTTGTTATGCATCAGAGAGTTGGACAGTGACTAGGGAGGATAGAAGGAGAATTGACGCCTTTGAGCTGTGGTGCTGGAGAAGAGTATTGAATGTACCGTGGACTGCCAAGAAAACAAACAGATTCATCCTAGAGAGGGTTAAACCAGGCTGCTCCTTGGAGGCAAGGATTCTGGGGCTTCGTCTGACATACTTTGGACATGTTGTAAGGAGACACAGGTCTTTGGAGAGGGACATCATGCTGGGTAGAGTAGAGGGACAGCGCAAGAGGAGAAGACCCTCTATGAGGTGGATTGTTTCAGTAACTGGGGTAATCGGGATGAGTGTGTCAGAGGCAATGCAATTGGCACAGGATAGAGCAGGGTTTAGGGCTGTTGTACATAGGGTCGCTATGAGTCTCATGGGACTCAACGGCACATAACAACAATAACAACAACAACAACATTTTGTTAAATTTTGCTATTCTTACTGGGGTGAGATGATATCTCATAGTTGTTTAGAGTAGGCTTTTTTTAAAGAGTTTACGTTTGCACCAAGACCACAATTATGAGAATGAGTAAGCCCTAGAACCTTCTCAGAAACCATTCACAGGTGAGGAAATAAAAACAGGAGCACATGCCTTGAGATGTTGTTGTTATATGCTGTCAAGTTGGAACCAACACATTGCTAACCCTCCAGCAGGTTTTCAGAGGCAGTAAATCATACAAGGGGAGAGTGCCCAGCTTTCTCCTTCAGAGCAGCTGATGATTATATGATTAGAACCATGTCCCATTGTGTTGGCAGCACATAGCTCCTTGCCACTAAGCTGCCAAAGCTCCCTGGGTTACGGATACACGTGCATAAATCATGAAACTTTGTTTTAAAGGTTAGTCCAGTGTGGCGAGAGTGCAGCGAGAGGAAATGTGTAAGATGCAGACAGAGAGATAAGCACAGGCCAGGTGGTGAAGATCAAAGCAACCATAGAGTTGAGGCTGGAGGCGTAGCTCTGAGTGTTAACGATGGATAGCACCCATGTCTTCACATCCTATTTCCCCCGCACTCTCTCTAGTCCTATTTTCATCCCTTCCAAAAGTGAAGTGCTCTCATCAAGGTTCCTCACAACTCTCATTTTGCAGTTATTGTCCATTTTAGCAATCTCTACAAAAGTGAGTTTACAGTGCAGTTACTTTTATTTCTCATGTTTTCCTCCTGTTCTTTCCCTTTTTATACTCATAGAAATTGAGTTTTCATATTAATTGTTGAATAAGTGTAGCCTCCTTCTTCTTCATTTTTGTTGCTAATCTGGCAAGTAGAAAACAAAATTCTTTTGTGGCTTAGTGACTGCCAAGAAAAAACAACAACAACAACAACAACAAACCAAAAGCAAACACATTGCTATTGAGTCACCAGGTTCATGGTCACCGCATGCGCTACAGAGTAGAAATGCTCCTCAGGGTTTTCTTTGCATAACTTTATGTAAGCAGATCTACAGACTCGCATTAGCTTTACTACCTAAGTTCAAGTGACCAACCTTTAGGTAAATAGATGAGTGCAAAATGTTTGTACTAGAAGAATGCCTTGTTGCCCGTCCACAGTTGGATTTGCAATAAATAATAAAGAATTTAATGAATAGAACTGTAATTTAATGGTGTAACTGTACATATAGGAGACTGGAACCCAGTTACTGGAGCCTACTCCTTTAAATGCAAGACAGCATAATAGAGTAAATAGGTAGATCTGCAAAGAATAGTATTTAAGGTTTAAAAATTAGTTCCGTTGTTTTTTTAACCATTAAAAAATTCATTTTATCTTTGACAGTGAAATTCCAAAGGACTCTTTGAAGGCCAGCCTGTTGAAACTGGAATGTCACTTTACATGGAATTTACTGAAAAAAGACATTGATTTGTTTGATATGGAAGATACAATTAGACAGCAGCTTGAATTTCTTATTACAAAATCCAAACTCAGTCTTTACAATTTACTAGCTTATGTGAAACACCTAAAAGGCCATAATAAAGATGCTCTGGAGTGCCTGCAACAAGCAGAAGAAATAATCCACCATGACCACGCCGAGGAAGAAGAAGTGCACAGTCTAGTCACTTGGGGGAATTATGCCTGGGTGTATTATCACATGAGCGAACTTAAAGAAGCTCAGAGATATGTAGACAAGATAGAGAATGTCTGCAAGACAGTGGCCGGTTCTTCTAATTACAAGTTGGAGCGTCCTGACATTGATTGTGAGAAAGGGTGGGCGCTCTTGAAATTTGGGGGGAAGTATTACCAGAAGGCTAAAGGAGCTTTTGAGAAGGCTCTGGCAGCAGAACCGGACAACCCAGAGTTTAACATCGGCTATGCCATCACAGTGTATCGGCTGGATGATTATGAAAGAGAAGGTGCTGTAAAGAGCTCCTCTCTGGGCCCTTTAAGGAAGGCTGTTAGCCTAAACCCAGATAACTCCTACATTAAGGTGTTTCTGGCCCTTAAGCTTCAGGATATCCATGCAGAAGCTGAAGGCGAAAAGTATATTGAAGAAATCTTGGACCAAGTGTCAGCCTCACCTTACGTCCTTCGTTATGCAGCCAAATTCTACCGAAGGAAAAACTCCTGGGATAAAGCTCTTGAACTTTTAAAAAAGGCCTTGGAGTTGACACCAAATTCTTCCTTTTTGCATCACCAGATGGGACTTTGCTACCGGGCACAAATGATCCAAATCAAGAAGGCCACACACAACAGACCTAGAGGAAAGGATAAATCGAAAGTGGATGAGCTGGTTGCATTTGCCATCTCTCATTTCAAGGCTGCTGTGGAACAGGACTCTATGTTTGTATTTGCCTACACAGACCTGGCCAACATGTACGCAGAAGGAGGCCAGCATCGCAACGCTGAAGACATTTTCCAGAAAGCCCTTCTTCTGCAGAACATAACTGATGACCACAAACATCAGATCCACTACCACTATGGCCGCTTCCAGGAATTTCACCGCAAGTCGGAAAAGAGTGCCATTCATCATTATTTAGAAGCCCTAAAGGTCAAAGAAAGGTCGTCTCTGTGCCCCAAACTAACAAGTGTGCTGAAGAAATTGGCTTTCAAGAGACTGGGTTACAATGCCCTGGATGTTCAGAGTTTAAGTGCCCTGGGATTCGTTTACAAGCTGGAGGGAGACAAGAAGCGAGCTGCCGAGTACTACGAGAGGGCTCAAAAACTAGATCCTGAAAATGAGGAATTCTTAACTGCTCTCTGTGAGCTTCGACTTTGCATCGAAAATGAGTTCTGAGCTCCCCTCTCCCCCATTTTGAATTTTTGTATATGCTTGCTTGTTTATTGTTTTATAGTCCATTATTGGATATACACCGTGTATTGATGACACTACTGTGTATCAGGCACTGAGCTAAATGCATTATATACATTATGTTGAACCTTTTGCTATTTTCTTTCTTTTATTATCAAAATCACCATAGTTCACTGAGAAGTAACATTCTGACTATTGTGGTTTTGAAGAATGATAAGGTTGTTGGGACTTTATCTCTGCTAATTGTAACAGTTTTCTGATGAAGTTTCATCAGATTTCCCACATTATTTGCTTAATGCAGTAAATGTAATCCTAAATAATCCTTTGAGCTCTAGGTCAGATACTCTTTTGGGAGTACAAAATTGTTGGTTAAGGTCTTAATTGTGTACTTTGCAAAGAGACAGGAACTTTCACTTACAGATGTTCTAATAAGGCTATTAATTGATAATCTCAGAATTTTCTTTGTTGAGGGAGAAAGTTCATAAGAATAGAAAGGAGAAGAAAACTAATTTCTTCAAGACTTAAATATGCAATTTCAGAGAACCATAAAAAGAAAATTATTTTCCAAAATGTACCTAAATAGCTAGAAATAATTAAGAGGGGAGAAAATATGGAAAATAATTTGTTTCAAATGCTAACCCAGAGGCTGCCCCATCTGGAAGTTCACATATGCCCGTGAATCCCGGGGCAAAAGATGGGCAGTGTCCTCCAGTTAACAGTTTACAGCCTCAGAAACCTGAGGGAGCCTAAGCCATGACTTTGAGTTTTGATCCACCTTGAGGAGTTAAGCTTGACTGCTCTTACCAGAAGGGTGTTGTGCTCTGTTTTATTTTGTTTACTTTGGAATGTTGTATGTAACTTCTTTAATGTTGTTCCTTTTTTTTACACAATTATATTCACCACCTCAGTATTTGCAAAAACGTTTGCCAGGTGATTTAATTCTTCATACCTGAAATATAACTATTAAAATCATTGTATGTGTGCATGGTTCTTTGTTTTTTAAAAAAATTTGCTGTATAGTTTTGATTACTGTAAAAGCAATACAGTCTTATTGTAATAAACAATACAGAAGCATGTGAATTTAAAAGAAAACTCCTTACTCTACCCTAAGTCTGCACCCCACAGGATAAACTGTTAAAAATGTTACTCTTCCAGGTCTTTTTTTCTATGCATATTCAAGCATAAATTAGAATATATTAACTCTGTGCCAGTTCCAACTCGACAGTACATAACAACAACAATATATACTTATATGTTTAAACACATATTTAAATACATAGATAGTTGTTGTAATGTGCTGTTGAGTGTCTGACAGCTGTGAACAGTATCTCTGAACCTCACTCTATCCTGAGCCAATCTCACTGTCTCTCATGCACCTTCCCCATTGCCACAGTAACTATGTCAGTCCATCTCGTCCAGGATTTCCTCTTCTGCAATGACCCTGTCCACATCAAGTCTTTTCCCCCATCATAGTCAATTTGGATTTTCTCCAAATATTTTGTTATTGCTGATAGTTTGTATTTGGTATTTAGCTCAGTACAAAAGGTGAGATTTTAGGACTGTAAGAAAATAATCTTATGGTTCTGTGAATTGTACTTTTAGCCACAATAAACACATCCATTTTTGTGCCTACTCTCACAAAGACTTTTCCACATGTGCCGGTTGAAGACATTTAATTCATATCCTGAAATAAATATTGTAATTCAAGCATTAACAGAAAGTGGTCCCTTTCTCCATTTCCTGCCTCTGATTCATCAAATTTAGCTCCATTCTGAGAAAACTCTTGCTTTTGTGGTCCTATGATGACTGCCGCCTCATTTCTTATGCCTACCCACCCATACTTTCTCTGCCAACAATCTAAGAAAAGTTCAGAACTGTCACCTTAGGTTACATGATCATTCTCAAATCAGTTAACATGGTCAGGAGAGAAGCTGTCATACTCATTAGTTCTGGGTTACATTAACTGGCCCTGGGACAAGATTGGGGAAGCTCACAGTATGGAGATGGAATGATCAGGAAAATCAGTTTCGAATACAGACACCCCAAAACACCAGGGATTGGTGGGTTCAGATCAATGCCCTTTCCCCCTTCATGTGAGAATCCCTGTGTGGTCCAAACGGTCAGCATGCTCAGCTACTAACAAGTGGTTCAGCCCACCCTGAGGGACCTCAGAAAGACTGTAGGAAATGAGACAGTGGAAGAGTAGGGAGCACAGTTCTCATATCGAGAGTCACCGTGAATTGGAGACAGCTGGTTTTATTATTTTCTAGACTGAGACAAAGTTACAAGTTGCCTTCTAGAATAATCTTCTAGAACAGAACTGTGGAACTAGGAGAACCCTAAGAAAGTGCCTGTTCCAGCCAACCAAGTTAACTGATTAGAAAATTGGGCCACAGATTGATGCTGTGACTTGGGCGTTTTACAGCTAGTTTATTTAGCAGCGCCAGTCTGTACTAGGAAATCGGAGGGCAGCTGCCTGGCTGACTCATTGGAAGACGTTCATGTTTCTTTCCAATCCCAAGAAAGGTGATCCAACAGAATGTGGGAATTATCGAACAATATCATTAACATCATATGCAAACAAAATGCTGCTGCTGCTGCTGCTGCTGATGATGATGATGATGTGTACCATCGAGTCACAACTATACCATAACTGACCTTCTAGTGGGTTTTCAGAGGCGTTTAATGAAACAGGAAGAGTTCGCCTATCCTTCCACGATCAGCTGGTGGTTTCAAACCATGTGCCTTTGGAATTGCATCATAGCTTCTTCACCACTAGGCCATCCGAGTTTCCTACTGCTGTAGTTTTGTGCCATGAAGTTGCCTCTGACTCAGTGACCCTATGAACAGTAGCTCTGAACCCTGCCCTATCCCGAGCCAATCTCACTGTCTCCAGCACACTTCTGTAATCCTTAATCATCGTCCAGCTCTCTGATGCTGGACAGTACCTAATAATTGCTAAGGCCATGGCCTGGATTAGGCTCACCTTCATCTCCAGACTGGCATCATTGCTCTTCAGCACTCTAGAGGGGTCCCTGACAGCAGACTTTCCCAATGCAACTCATCTTTTGATTTCAATGCCAAGAGAAGTTGATTGTGGATTTGAGCAGAATGAAATTGCTGAGGATCATGCAAAAACGGCTACAACAGTATATAGACTGTGAACTGCCAGACATTCAAGAAGGATTTAGAAGAGGCTGTGACACCAGGGATATCCTTGCTGATGTCAGGTTGATTCTGGCTGAAAGCAAAAAATACTATCAGAGCCCCAGTGTCAAAGTCAGTTCCTGTCCCGTTCTTGCCCTCACCTGCCACCTCCTCCTTTTCCCAACAAGACAGACGTCACTGTGTCCTTCCCCAAGGACTTCCTGGCAGGTGGAGTGGCTGCAGCCGTCTTAGAATGTGGTAGCGCCCACCGAGTGGGTCAAGCTGCTGCTGCAGGTGCAGCATGCCAGCAGGCAGATCACTGCAGACAAGCAGCACAATGGCATTTTATCAACTGCTTGGTTCTTATCCCCAAGGAGCAGGAATTTCTGTCCTGGTAGCGTAACCTGGTCAACGTCATCTGATACTTTCCCACTCAGGCTCCTTCAACTTTGCCTTCAAAGATAAATGTTATTGTTGTTGATAGGCGCTGTTGAGCGAAGTACGACTCATAGCAACTATGAATAAAAGATCTGAACCCCATCCTATCTTGTGCCATTCTCACACTTCCGGACACACAAGAACCTATTGCGGCAGTCACTGCTTTAATCCACATGGTCAAGGCTCATCTTCTCCTTCACCAACCCTCCACTCTTCCGAGCATCATGTCCTTCTCCAAAGAATAGCCCTTCCTAACAACATGCCCAAAGTTATGTGAGGTGAAACCTCATCATACTTGCCTCCAAAGAGCACTCTGGCTGCACCCTCTCCAAGATATATTTGTTCTTTTAACCATCCATGGAAGGTTCAGTGCTCTTCTCCAACATCACAGCTCAAAGGCATTCATTCTTCTGTCATCCCTATTCACTGTCCAGCTCGCAGATGCATAGTAAGTGATAGGAAAGACTATGGCCTGATACAGACACACCTTAGTCATCAAACTGACATCATTACTCCTCAATAATTTGGAGAGATCCCCAACTGCAGATTTTCCCAGTGCAGTGTGTCTCCATATTTTCTGACTGCTGGTACCAACAGTGTTAATTGTGGATCCACGTAAGATGAAGTTGTTGACAGTTTCAATCTTTTCTCCATCCTTCATGACATTGCCTATCCGTCCAGTGGTAAGAATCTTTGTTTTCTTGACATTGAGATGTAGTTCATACGGAAGGCTGCATCCCTTGGTCTTCTGCAACAAGTACTTCAAGTCCTCCTCACTTTCAGCAAGCAAGGTTGTGTCATCAGCATAACACAGGTTATTGATGAATATCCCTCCAATCCTGATGCCATATTCGTCTTCATAGAGTGTAGTTTATCTAATACTTTGCTCAGCATACGGATTAAATATATGTGGAGATAGAATACAACCCTGATACTCCCTTCTTAATTTTCAACCATGCAGTGTCTCCTGGTCCAGATAAGGGTTTTACATGACCACAATGAAGTGCTCTGGGATTCCCATTCTTCTGAAGGTCAACTATAACATATTATGATCCACACAATCAAATGTCTTTGCATAGTCAATAAATCACAAATAGATAGTCTTTTGGTATTCTTTTAGCCAGGCTCCATCTGATATTATCAATGATATTTCCAGCTTGGAGCCTCCTGTCTGAAACTTTTGGATTCTGGAGAGTAGGTTTTGATTTAATTGAAAGTCAGGTGTAAACTGTTTGGTTGGGTATTATTTTGTTAATAATCAAGTGTAATCAGATTGGTCATTTGGATTTATTTAACAATCAGCTATGGGCTGGAAGCCTCTTGTTTAAATTAATCAGGACCTGGTGGAGGAGGGGGGCTTTGTATTTAAAAGTTGGTTGGGCCTTGAATAAGGATTTCCA